GATAGCCAATCATGATAGCCATTCTTGATAGCCAATCTTGATAGCCAATCATGATAGCCAATCTTGATAGCCAATCATGATAGCAAATCATGATAGCCATTCTTGATAGCCATTTTTGATAGCCATTCTTGATATCCAATCTTGATAGCCAATCATGATAGCCATTCTTGATAGCCGTTCTTGATAGCCGTTCTTGATAGCCGTTCTTGATAGCCAATCTTGATAGCCAATCATGATAGCCAATCTTGATAGCCATTCTTGATAGCCAATCTTGATAGCCAATCTTGATAGCCAATCTTGATAGCCAATCTTGATAGCCAATCTTGATAGCCAATCTTGATAGCCATTCTTGATAGCCAATCTTGATATCCAATCTTGATATCCAATCTTGATATCCAATCTTGATAGCCACTCTTGATAGCCACTCTTGATAGCCAATCTTGATAGCCAATCTTGATAACCAATCATGATAGCCATTCTTGATAGCCAATCTTGATAGCCAATCATGATAGCCAATCTTGATAGCCAATCTTGATAGCCATTCTTGATAGCCAATCATGATAGCCAATCTTGATAGCCATTCTTGATAGCCAATCTTGATAGCCAATCTTGATAGCCAATCTTGATAGTCGTTCTTGATAGCCAATCATGATAGCCATTCTTGATAGCCAATCTTGATGGCCAATCTTGATAGCCAATCTTAATAGCCAATCTTGATAGCCAATCTTGATATCCAATCCTGATAGCCAATCCTGATAGCCAATAGCCATTCTTGATAGCCAATCTTGATAGCCATTCTTGATAGCCAATCTTGATAGCCATTCATGATAGCCAATCTTGATAGTCAATCTTGATAGCCAATCTTGATAGCCAATTTTGATAGCCAATTTTGATAGCCATTCTTAATAGCCATTTTTAATAGCCAATCTTGATGGCCAATCTTGATAGCCAATCTTGATAGCCAATCTTGATAGCCAATATTGATAGCCATTCTTGATAGCCATTCTTGATAGCCATTCTTGATAGCCATTCTTGATAGCCAATCATGATAGCCAATCTTGTTCGCCATTCTTGATAGCCAATCATGATAGCCATTCTTGATATCCAATCTTGATATCCAATCTTGATATCCAATCTTGATAGCCAATCTTGATAGCCATTCTTGATAGCCATTCTTGATAGCCAATCTTGATAGCCATTCTTGATAGCCAATCTTGATAGCCAATCTTGATATCCAATCTTGATATCCAATCTTGATATCCAATCTTGATAGCCAATCTTGATAGCCAATCTTGATGGCCATTCTTGATGGCCATTCTTGATATCCAATCTTGATGGCCAATCTTGATGGCCAATCTTGATGGCCAATCTTGATAGCCAATCATGATAGCCAATCTTGATATCCAATCTTGATATCCAATCTTGATAGCCAATCATGATAGCCAATCATGATAGCCAATCATGATAGCCAGTCTTGATAGCCAATCATGATAGCCAATCATGATAGCCAATCTTGATAGCCAATCATGATAGCCAATCATGATAGCCAATCATGATAGCCAATCATGATATCCAATCTTGATATCCAATCTTGATAGCCAATCTTGATAGCCAATCTTGATAGCCAATCTTGATAGCCATTCTTGATAGCCAATCATGATAGCCAATCATGATAGCCATTCTTGATATCCAATCTTGATATCCAATCTTGATATCCAATCTTGATATCCAATCTTGATATCCAATCTTGATATCCAATCTTGATATCCAATCTTGATAGCCAATCTTGATAGCCAATCTTGATAGCCAATCATGATAGCCAATCTTGATAGCCATTCTTGATAGCCAATCTTGATAGCCAATCTTGATAGCCAATCATGATAGCCAATCATGATAGCCAATCTTGATAGCCAATCTTGATAGCCAATCTTGATAGCCAATCTTGATAGCCAATCTTGATAACCAATCATGATAACCAATCATGATAGCCAATCATGATAACCAATCATGATAGCCAATCATGATAACCAATCATGATAGCCAATCATGATAGCCAATCTTGATAGCCAATCATGATAGCCAATCTTGATAGCCAATCTTGATAGCCAATCATGATAGCCAATCATGATAACCAATCATGATAACCAATCATGATGGCCATTCTTGATAGCCAATCATGATAGCCAATCATGATAGCCATTCTTGATATCCAATCTTGATAGCCATTCTTGATAGCCATTCTTGATATCCAATCTTGATATCCAATCTTGATATCCAATCTTGATATCCAATCTTGATATCCAATCTTGATAGCCAATCTTGATAGTCAATCATGATAGCCAATCTTGATAGCCATTCTTGATAGCCAATCTTGATAGCCAATCTTGATATCCAATCTTGATAGCCATTCTTGATAGCCAATCTTGATAGCCAATCATGATAGGTTAATCGCTCATATTTACTCATATTTACTAATCTCATGGTACAATAATAATGTATATTATGAATAAATATTAAATGGCAGTGGTCGTCTACAGATTCTACAAATTAGTTGGGTTGGGTTGGGTTGAGTTGGGGTGGCAGTGGAAGATTTCATTTGTACACCATTTTATAATAAGGTCACCAAGTTAATTAAAAAGTTGATATTAATTATAGTAAAAACAAACAAACTCAGCCCCTGGTCTGAAACCATATATTACAATGACATCTCTCACAACAACCTTAAAAATGGAGATTTTATTAAAATATACTGGTACATGTAAAGTGGTGTTGTTGTGATTTTAAAATGCCATATTGTTCAGGAGATGTCACTTCCTGTTCCAGCCAAGTATTGCGTGCATGCAAGTTTTTGTGTTTGTTGAACAGTATGAAAATTTAATAGAATAGGAATACTAACATATTGTGTGGGAAGACTAACTTCTGCTACATATTACATACATAGAAATATGAGTACACAATTACTGTAGGCAAACTCGGGTAACCATGACAATTAATAAATTATGCAAATTAAACTGTATTATTGTTGGCCTGGTATGTTATAATATAATTTTGGTGTAAATTTGATTGTTATTTTTTAATCTTAAAACCTTGATTTATTTATTGAAATCTCACTGAATGTAATGAGTATTCTTGATTGATATGTAAATATTATTTATTTTGGCATTCATTCATTCAACAAGGATATTCCAATTTTCCTCCAAAAGGAGATATATAATTTCAAATGGTGTCCTGCAACAAAATATACATGAAAAATAAAAAAATAAAAACATTTAAATAACTGAAAACACGCAAAACATATACTCAAAATCACGAAATCATTAACAAAATATTTTACTGTAGTTTCAAACATATCCTGAATTGATTTTAATTCAAATTATGCAATCAGAGTTTCCTTATGTGTTCTATACATGTACATATGGTAGCAAATAAATATTTGTTTTCTAAACTTAAAATACAATTTCAGAATTTAGGATCGTTTTCTGTAGCATTTAATAATGAGTCAGAGAAAATTTAAAATGTATTTGATATCTTTCAGACAAAATAACAATTTTAGAGGGAGGGGGCCCTATTAAACTCATCACCATGGTAACTAATAATGATTTGTGTTTCTCTTTCTTTTTTCCCCAGATCATTGATAATTATTATCACTTTCTGGACAGGAGAATAAATAAACGTTCCATTCAAGCTAGCAATAAAATTCACCATATGTTACTTGGAAAAGAACCAACCGTAAGTATTTTGGTGTATACCTCAGTACAGACAGACTGTGAGTGTGTGAGCAACAGAGCAATATGCCACTATTCTAATGAAAGGTTTGTATAATGGATATTGTATTCAGCCCATTGCTTTCAACAGTCTTCAAAATATTGGTTTTACATACAACATTTTTTCAATTAATTAATTATAATTAATTTATTTATTTATTTGTTTGTGTGTGTGTGTGATTATTCACACAGAGTAGTCATCATCATCTGCGACAGGGTAGTTTTCGCTTTATAAAAATAGTAATAATAATAGGAAGTTAGTTCTGTACATGTCTATGATGCATACATGCATGAGATTCAACATGTCTAAATATTTCATATTAAAATGGATTTAATTCAGTCTAGATAATGTAAGATTACTCATGTTTTTTTAATCTTTTCATCTTTCCGAGTAACATATTTTTGTTATCTCAAAGTTATGAAAGTGTCATTTGTTGTGACATATCAAATCACATCTTAGTGTCTGAGAATAGATACAATGTAGAGATAGGCGATAATCCAATAAACAATATTTTTATGCAGCTTTTCACTCACAAAGTAGACCCAGAAGATTGTTACCATGGCAGCAGCAGTATATTAGAATTCCAGATTTGGACTAATGATAATCTTTAATTTACGGAGATCACAAATATATTTTTAGCTTTGTCAAAGTCGAGCAGATCTGTTCATATTACTGGCCATTTACGCCAACTTTACATTTTTGTACTTATGGCTTTGATACTTTCCAGAAAGATACTTTGAAAATGGCTTGCCAAATTGCTGTGATATTTAATATGGTAGAATTTCAGACTTTTTGTATTCAATCTGTGTATGTAGTTGTGTACAAGATTGCTTTCAGACTAAGCATCACAATGAGTAGAACTATATCAGGAAATAGGATGCTTGTTTATACCTTTTCTGTAGCAAGGTATATAAGGGGAAAATGCCTGTCCTCGTTGTTGTCGTCATTGACTCTGTTGTAAAACTTTTTTCTTGTGGTTACAATAACACAAACCGTTTCTATCCAATTTCTTTCAAACTTTGATATTATATTAACCAGTTTAGGATCTCAGCTAAGTTCGATTATGGTGTATGTTCTATGTATATTTTTCAAGATATTCATTAAATTTCACTTAAAGTTGTCTTCTTGTAATAATAACTTGAACAGTTTGTATTCAATCATCTTCAAATTTAGGAAACTTGTCAATTGCTATGAAATATGAAGTAAAGTATTCAAGATATGGGGTAAAATTTGACTTAAATAACATTTTTTAGATGTAGAAACAAGGGAACAGAATGAACACATTCATACTGATATGTTATGCGTATAAATAAAAAGGTGACAAGTTTGTCATCTTTTTCAAATCTGGCTAGTTTGTCGTCTTTTTCAAATCTGGCTAGTTTGTCATCTTTTTCAAATCTGGCTAGTTTGTCATCTTTTTCAAATCTGGCTAGTTTGTCGTCTTTTTCAAATCTGGCTAGTTTGTCATCTTTTTCAAATCTGGCTAGTTTGTCATCTTTTTCAAATCTGGCTAGTTTGTCATCTTTTTCAAATCTGGCTAGTTTGTCATCTTTTTCAAATCTGGCTAGTTTGTCATCTTTTTCAAATCTGGCTAGTTTATCATCTTTTTCAAATCTGGCTAGTTTGTCGTTTTTTCCAAATCTGGCTAGTTTGTCGTTTTTTTCAAATCTGGCTAGTTTGTCATCTTTTTCAAATCTGGCTAGTTTGTCATCTTTTTCAAATCTGGCTAGTTTGTCGTCTTTTTCAAATCTGGCTAGTTTTCATTTTTTTCAAATCTGGCTAGTTTTCATTTTTTTCAAATCTGGCTAGTTTTCATTTTAAATACATTATTGCACTACTATTTGAAAACTTCTTTTACAATTTGTGCTATAATATTTTATAAAGGTACATTGAGACTGATATAGTATATGTAGTATTATCTGAGGAACACATTGGCTAGTATTTTTCTTGTCAAAATTGTTAGCAGAGCTGTTGATTGTCCATCGTCGTTATTGTCCTGCAAACATTTTTTTTCATGACTTTTTGAAAACCGTTAACTCTATGACTTTCATAATTGGTACATTTATTCCCTTTGTGGACCTCTAATGGATTTGATCGTTTCATCTCTATATCTTTAATTCTCTATTTTTAATGAATATTTTTTTTTACTTTTTGGTAAAATAAACTTCTTCTCTGATTGTTTTGATACTTAGTATATATAGTATATATTTACCTTGGTTTGACCTCTATTAAATTTCAATATTTTAATTTGTGACATAACACTCTACTACGGTAATTTACATATATATCCTATAACTAGAGTTGATGAATCCAAAACATTGCTGCTATTAGTATTAAACTTATCCTTATCAGTGATAAGATCTAAACACAAGAATGGAAACACTCTTGTATGTTGTTTGTTCCTAAACTATTAGGACCTTTCATAAGATTCAAGTTATATTATTCTATAAGATTAATACAGTACATGTAGTATTATTTGAAGAACACAAATTTTCATTATTTTTTTTAAGTAATTATGATGACTTTTTTAAGCTTTATTTTCTGCACAAAATGCTTAGATAATATATTCCATTGTTTCAGAACTTTCATACTCACTTTTGCCAGATATTAGATTTTTAGTTTGTTGTCCATCCATACATGTGTTATTAAATATAGGTTCTCAATGGATAAGGTTGTAATAGTTACACTATGTTAACTTTGTGTTTAACATGTTGATTGTGTGCTCTTCTTTCTTCTTTAGCCTTTCAGCTTCCTGTAGAGCATATGCCACCCACAGTCTCCTTCCACTCTCCTTCTACTCTCTTCTGCTCTGGGCTAGTCTAGTGATGGTGTGCCAGTTGTGCCCCATCTTCTTCATTTCCTGTTCCCATGTTCTACGCCAGGTGTTTCTTGGCCTTCCTCTATTTCTCTTCCCCTGCGGATTTCATTGCAATGCCTTTCTAGTGATGGCCACCATATTCCCAGTATTTTTCTTAAACAAGAGTTTATAAAGGCTTGAATTTTCCTGTTGCATTCTGAGGTTGTCTTCCATGTCTCTGAGCCATATAACAATACGGCTTTCACTTTTGTATTGAAAATCTTTATCTTGTGTTTTTTGATTGCTCAATGAGTGTTTTAAAATTTAAGTGGTTATTCCCCATTAATGTGCCAACAACTCAGAATATGCAACAATTTGAATACTAATTATAAGCAATCTTTCTAGTTCTTGACAGTCAAATTAGTTACATCATTTTCACTTGACTAATGGCACATACACCCAGGGTTATAGCCAGAAATAAAAAGTGTCAGCGTGACTAAAATATGTATTTAAATGCAAAATAATTGTTGCTAGTCTGTAGCCACAGACTTGTAGTCAATTTGTTGTAGACTATTTAAGGCTATTTCGTGAAACCTGGTTTTTTTAACCAAAAATTGACAGGTTTGTGGAAATTTAAACTATCAAATTATATTTTGTGCCTGTGTAAAATGAAAAGTAGATATATAAGCTTTCTGAAACCCTGCATATACCGCTCGTACTTCACACTTTTGTGGTTTATTAACTAGTACATTTTCACTTTCACTTATGAAATCAATGTCAAAAACAGATGTTGTGATATTTTTAGCTCTTCTGTCGATTAAGTGGAGTGGAGCAACATGTACAATGTACATTACATTTATATTACTGATTGTCAGTGTTAGACTTCTTTGAAAACCTTAACCATACGGATACTGTGCTGGAAGGTACTTTGGGTAGTTCTTTCTCAGATTTATTCATTTCGTGTTGATATATTTAATTCTCTAATTTTTTGCATTTTTGGGTAGACCTCCACCAATTTTGTTTTCATTTCATGATTACAACTTCAGTTTTCTAATTTTTAGAAAAAATTTCACCATTTTGGCAAATCTTTTATTATTGAAAACAGCTAGTATAATACATTGTAACAATTTACTAATTTTTGGTTTGGTAAAACCATGAAGGTAGAAAAGAGAAAGAGTGAGGACGCTATTTAAGCCCATGTTAATCTTATAAACATCCTTTGTTTTCGGTCTGGTTAAGCCACTTATTGTTTTTCTTCAGAAGTCGTTTTATCTACATGATGATAGCCGCTTATTTACACAAGAAACTGAGAGTAGAACTGAAAAAAATAAATTCTGTTTAAACATCATCTATAAAATTGAATGCGCAAACCATAAATAAAAGAATTGTGCATGCGCAATGACCTTTATCGGATCACAAAGGTCATTTCACACTTGTTGATACCGGAAATTCTTCATACGGACGCTACAAGATGTGTGATTACTTCTTTTCTGATATTTTTCATCGCAATAGTCGTCCAACTTTGGACATTGATTGAAAAAATCTCGCAAATTTTCGCAGTGAAATTTAAAGATACATGATAAGATTATAACAAGATGTTTTGACAAGTCATTTTTCATTGGTGTGCAGAACTGTGCAGATGTCGAAAATCGCGCCTTTTGTTGTAATGGATTTCGGGCGTTGAGTAAACTCAGCGTACCTCTTTCGCTGCATTTTGTATTATTGTTATCTGTTTGGGCATGCGCAGTGCGTTGAAAATCTTCGTGAAGCTTCCGAATACAGCCGCAACACGTAAGCCGATTAACTGTGACAGTGTACAGCGTGTTTGCAAACTAATTACAATGTGTACTGAGTAAACAAATCCAAAGCATCATGAAACCAGCGGAAACAATAGCGTCCTCACTCCTTCTCTTTTCTACCTCCATGGTAAAACTGATATCTTTGGCTTCATATCCCAGAAGCTAATAGCTTACATATTCATTAGGCAAGTACCTTGCAATTGGGTGGTTCTGTATCAGATTTTTAGCTCCACTGTCATAGAAGATGACAGAGCTTATTGTAAATTGTCTGTCTGTTCTGGCCACCCATCCAGCATCAGTTTTTTAGCAAATACCAGTACATAGTTTTGTTATGGGAGGGGAGATATAAGCTGATAAAATATGGAACCTCAAAACTGTGCTATGAATTGGATGTGAATAATTTTGGTGATATAAAGTTAGGTATGTCTAAAACAACTACTTTCTTGTGGTTGAACTGTATTTAATTGCCTTGTTTGGCAAGCATTACTTTCGACTACCACAGTTTTCTTAATAGTACAGCCAAGCTCTTTCAACTGTCAGGTTTCATGACAATACCTTGCATTTTCTGCATTTTAGAACAATGTTTTGTTAGTTTTAAGCAGTCATTGGATGTTGTGAACATGAGTTAAATGACCAAAGGCTTAATTCTTTCAATGCTAGAAATAGAATATAATTTTAAACAATATTGTAAAGTCACCATCTGTTTTATCCTGTAGATGGAAACATTGATATTTGCATTCAGTGGATTTAAAAAAAGATATAATACATGTACGGTTATAGGAAGTGCTATACATAGCATATGAAATTATGTAAATTGTGGCCATGTGTCTTTGATTAAAATAAGGCATACTATAGAGGTATATATTCAGTAGATTTAACACATTGCCAGTTTACACCATTACATAACATGCATATCAGCTGTTCATAGAGGTTTCCAGCAGGCAGCATGTTAATTAATATGTTAATTTTAGTGGATTTGACTTGGTTTACTGGTTTTTGGAAAGAATAATTCATTCTGTTGTTAAATATGAATATTCATTAGGTTAAAATTAGTATATGTTAGCTGCCAGCAAAATAAACAGATAAATAAAAATCGGCGAATACTGTAAAATGACTAATTTTCACTGGGTTTAAATTTCACTGATTTAGCATTTCAGGCATATTCAGTGGGTTTTAAATTCACGGTTTTATCATTTAGATAATGTGTTCTATGCTAAATTTTACATATTCACTGGGTTTTAATTTAGCGCAATTTCCAGGCAGCGAAATAAGCAAAATTAAAACCCACTGAATAATTAACCCTTTTACAGTAATTAAGCCTTCTACAGTATTTTCAGTGTTCTAGTACCGGTACAGTGTATACAATAAATCAAGTGCCTGTTTTCCTGCACTACTATTGGAGATGTTTTCTAATAGAGCAAAAACAGTAAATATTAATTACCTATACACAATGAATAAATAAAGTTTTGACAGTAGAGTCTATATTTTCATCTGATTTCCCCTGGTCATAGTAAAATTTGTTATTTCCATTGTATGTCTACATGTATGCATATGGTGACACCTTAACTCTGTTTATATTTAGATCTTAAACACTGAGTACTGTAAACCCATTTATTTTCACCAGCATTTAATTTCACTATTTTGATGCTTTGCGTAATTTCACTGGGTTCGAAGGTCAACAACTTGGCAGGGTTGAAGGTCAACAACTTGGCGGGGTTGAAGGTCGACAACTTGGCAGGGTTGAAGGTCGACAACTTGGCAGGGTTGAAGGTCAACAACTTGGCAGGGTTGAAGGTCACCATCTTGGCAGGGTTGAAGGTCGCCAACTTGGCAGGGTTGAAGGTCGCCAACTTGGCAGGGTTGAAGGTCGCCAACTTGGCAGGGTTGAAGGTTGCCAACTTGGCAGGGTTGAAGGTCGCCAACTTGGCAGGGTTGAAGGTCGCCAACTTGGCAGGGTTGAAGGTCGCCAACTTGGCAGGGTTGAAGGTCGACAACTTGGCAGGGTTGAAGGTCGCCAACTTGGCAGGGTTGAAGGTCGCCTACTTGGCAGGGTTGAAGATTGACAACTTGACAGGGTTGAAGGTCGACAACTTGGCAGGGTTGAAGGTCGACAACTTGGCAGGGTTGAAGGTCGACAACTTGGCCAGGTTGAAGATCGACAACTTGGCAGGGTTGAAGGTCGACAACTTGGCCGGGTTGAGGGTCGACAACTTGGCCGGGTTGAGGGTCGCCAACTTGGCAGGGTTGAAGGTCGCCAACTTGGCAGGGTTGAAGGTCGCCAACTTGGCAGGGTTGAAGGTCGCCAACTTGGCAGGGTTGAAGGTCGCCAACTTGGCAGGGTTGAAGGTCGCCAACTTGGCAGGGTTGAAGGTCGACAACTTGGCTGGGTTGAAGGTCGACAACTTGGCCGGGTTGAAGGTCGCCAACTTGGCCGGGTTGAAGGTCGCCAACTTGGCCAGGTTGAAGGTCGCC